AATGCTTTGGCAAGGACAGGGTGAATGCAGGATCTAGTTGCCAGCTCTGGGTTGGGAAACAGTGGCGATCTGGAGGGGTGGAGCTTGGGGAAGGGAGGGGAGGGGCCTTAGCATGGTACAATGCCACAGAGTCCACCCAGCAAAGCAGCCATTTTCTCCAGGGGAACTGATCTCTGTCTTCTGGAGATTAGTTGTAATACTGGACAATCTCCAGGCCTCACCTGGAGTTCAGCAACCATAATTCGGAACCATATATCAGTTCTGAAATCTTACATATGCAGGAGCACATCTAAAGTAATGCTAAAGGTTGTCTTCTCAGCTACTGTAAAGTACATTTTCAAACTGCACGCCACAGCCTCTCTTATCCAGACATAAGAAGAGCCCTGCTGAATCAGACCAGTGGTCCATCTCGTCCAGCATCCTGTCTCACACGGTGGCCAATCAGTTCCTCTGGAGGGCCAACAACAGGGCATAGAGGCCAAGGCCTTCCCCTGTTGTTGCCTCCTGGCTCTGGGATTCAGAGGATTAGTGCCTCTGAGTGTGGAGGGTCCCCTCAGTCACCATGGCTAGTAGCCACTGACAGACCTCTCCTCCATGAAGCGATCTAATCCCCCTTTAAAGCTGTCTCTTCCTGTGGCCATCACTACATCCTCTGGCTGCGAATTCTACATTCATTTAAATCTGGGCAGACCAACCATAATACTGGTGCAGTCAGGCAACATAAAGAGGTCGGGACTCGACGATGCTCACCCGCCTGGCTTTGCTCTGATACTTGACAGCTTTTTTGGTATCGGACACGGCCCGCTCCACGTAGTCCACCGCGTGCTCCACGTTGTATTCGATGCGGTCAATCATCTCACCCTGCACAAGGGAGGAGGCACAGAGCGGTTTTCCTCTCAAGGCGCGGGGAGGCCCTTCCAAGCGTTCTCATGTTACCTGTGTGCTTGCGGGCGCCTCCTCTGGCATCAGCCAGCCCAAGTACATCCCGTGCCCCGTTCCACTGAGATCTCCGCAAGACCTGTCACCAGAAAGGAAGGGAGAGGAAAACTACATCAGGGTTTTTGTTTTTTTTAAATCGCTTCTGTCGCCCGTAAACTGGTTGGCCTGAGGGGAAATCCAGGGGAGGAAGAGGGGCTGCTTATTCCCCCCCCCCCCTTCCCAACTTCTCCTTGCAAGCCTACCCACACGTTATCGTTTACTAAGCAGGGTTGGTCCTAGTTAGAACTTGGAAGGGAAGTCCGGGGTCGCTACACAGAGGCAGGCAATGGCAAACTACCTCTGAACCTCTCTTGCCTTGAAAACCCTGATGGGGTCGCCGTAAGTCAGCTGCAACTTGATGGCGAAAAAAGAAGTCAGATTTGATACACGGGGAGAGCTAGAGCTGGGAGGGAAACTTGACTGCCTTCATGGCCGTTGAGGGATTTGAGCCTGGGACTCCCGAGTCCCGTATCCCATCCCTGCACCGTGCTGCCTTGCAGGGTGAGCTCCTGTCTCTTGGGGAGGGGGGGAGACCTCTATGGAGCAGGTTTGCTAAGTGTGGTCATTTATTTCAATATCTGTCCCCTGCTTTTCTCCCCAGTGAGGTCCCAAAGCCACTGACAACGTTCTCCTCCATTCCGTCCTCATAACAATAAGCCTGTTAGGTAGGCTATATGGAGGGAGAGTGATTGCCGGAGGTTCCCCGGAGAACTCCCGGGGGGGGGGGGGTTCAAACCCCCGGATCCTAGTCTGACCCTCTAACCACGCTGGCGATGTATGTCATAGGGCACAGGGCCTTGGGTTTGCTTAAGAGAGGCTACTCTGGTGGAAAGGGCGGGCCAAGGCACCTGTGACCGGAAGCTTGCACAAAAAACGGACAAAGAAAACGAGACCCAGCCACTCCAGGAAAAGCCACCGGACGTTACAGAGGCACAGACGCCACCCAGCAAAAGGGGGGGGGGGTACCACACCAGGAGGGTAGTAACAGAGGACCACAAGTGCATGCAGGGAGAAGGACCCAACTCCTGTCCCAGCCCTGATTCATACAACCACAGTAGGGGACTTGCAAGGCAGCAGACGCTGCCCACGGCCATAGTGAGGTGGGAGGTCAGTCGCTCGCCACCAACGCACGTCCGGGTCCTGCTTTCCAGAGTGCTGTTACAGCTGTCCCCAGCAGGGGCAAGAAGGATGCTGAGCCACTTTTCCAGGCTCCTTTGGTGCAGTTGCACAACGTGGCGCTTTTTTGTTTTTGTTTGTTTTTTTGCCACATAAGGGGGAAAACCTACCAGACCAGCTAAGTAACCTGCACTGGTCACTCACAGCAATCCGCAGTCTGGATAGACAAAGGGGTAACGATGAGGAATTGGATGCAAGTCATCCAGAGGTGAAGTGATTTAGATTATGCAAATTTAGGAAACACTGAGCATGTGCAGAACGCCTGTCCTGGCTCTGTCTGCATCCCAGGCTAGGCAGGGGCAGCGCTCCAGCCTTTGCTCCTCAGTCCCCATTCAAGACTGCCTGCCCTTCACCAGGGGTCATTTCCTGCAGGAGTGCACAGGAGCGGAGCTCCGGCAGTAAAGAGCCCAGGGGGTGGGCACATGCAACAAGCCCCGCCCCCTGCTCCCAGCAGCCCTGGGCCACAAGGAGCAAGAAGCAGCCAGGTAAGTTGCAGAGCCCCTCCCCCCCATAGCAATCTAAAACTGTCCAATGGCACCTTTAAGGCCAAGGTTTATTCGGGTACAAGCTCTCCCTCCTCTGCAGGGACAGATCTGCACATCGTTCCCCCCCCCCCCCATAGCTAGCACTCCAAGAGTCCAGTGGAGTCTGATCGCTGGGTGTTGCCTTCTGACACACTTCTGGTGATGTCAGGGGGTGTGGCATATGCAAATGAGTTATGCTAATGAGCTCCTGCACCTCTTTTCCTACAAAATGACCCCTGCCCTTCACCCTGCGGGATGGCCTTGGCGCTGAATGCATCTCCTGCCCGGCCGTCTCCTCCTTTTCTCCGAGCTTCCCTGGTCAGAACATGGGGCCGGAAGCAGCTTTGGCGAGGTGGGATCCTGGTCTCTGCAGCCACGGGGGCGAACCGGGCCTGGAACCATCTTGGCACGGAGCCCTCAGAAAAGGCCCGGAGCCCTCAGTGCAGAAATCGCTGCTTTCCTGGCGACCCTTACTTACCGCTTCTCCCCGGCGGTTTGGGTCCGGTCGCAGCTGTGCTCCTAATCTCGCGGCATTCCGTGAAAGGAGAGGCAAGCGCATGGCCGAGTTGTGTCCCCTTGTGGTTCTGGCAGGCAGATCGTCTCCCAGAATCACTCCTGCCAACCCAGGCCTGGATGAGGCACATGGCCCCCTCCATCACCTTGCTGATAGCAAACGGCCACAGGACGGAGGTCAAAGCAAGAGGGGTTTGGGAGGGGAAGGATGGAGCAGATCCTGCCTCTTCCCCTGGACAGGGAAGCACCCAGATGGCGGCCAGCCTCTTTTGGGAGCCACGGCAGCTCCCTTTGCTCTCCCTCCACGAGGGTGCAGCGTCTCCATCCTGAGCTCTTCAGCTATTGGGCGCTTCTGCATTCAGTGCACCGAGCTCTATTTAAAGGCAGGACTGCACGCATGCTGCAGTTGCAAGGAAGCACACAGCAAAGATGCAGGACGCTGTTCAGGACCCAGAGTTTGGTGTCCTTGGGGGGGGGGGGGTTCCTTTTCTTTTAAACATATTTGTAGCCGTCGTACTTTCAAAAGTTTACCTGGAGGTGCGCAGCTGATGCCATGTGCAATCTCGGAGACCGGACGGGTAGCTGGGGAGAGTTTCAGTGTCCTGCAGAACACTTAATCCCTCCCTGTACTTGTAAAGCCAGGATACAGGATGCAACAGCACAGACTGCAGATTGGCACAATGGGTATGGGGTTGCAGAACCCAGCACTTCTTGTATTGGGGCTATCGGGACATTACATTTTGAAGGATTTTTAACTGAATACACACACCCAGTGTGGGCGAAGGGCACTGGTCACCCAAAAGGCAACCTTCTCATTCTGCCCGACTTTATTTCTCCTCCCCCCCCCTCTGCCACACTTTGGCACAGGCAAGTAGATTTTCCGCAGCTCAACTTACTCCTGATTTTCTTGGGAATCAATCCGCAAGCATTGGAATAACTTTGGCCACGGTTCTTCTGCACGTCCGTCCTCCCTCTGCATTTTCACAGTTGTGGACAGTGTTCCCTCTAAGCTGAGTTACTGTGAGCTAGCTCACAGTTTTTTAGCCTCCAGCTCAGATATTTTTGTCTTCACTCAAGAAGGATGGCTCCAGAGCAAACTAATTTCTGCAGTAGCCAAATCACTCACTCACAACTTTAATGCCAGTAGCTCACAGAGTAGAATTTTTGCTCACAAGACTCCACAGCTTAGAGGGAACATTGGTTGTGGAGCCAGTTTATTTTCTTCCGCTCCTTCCTTCCTTCCAAGGGAAGGTGCGGTCATCGTCGGTGGCGTCACAGCACCTCACTCCACCCCGTTCTTAAAAATGGCACTAAACTATCCATATGTCACTCGAGCATTGTAATGACAGGCTTAGCAGATTCTCTGCATTCCTAGCTTTCATTTTTTAAAAAAAGTAAGTTTCTAGTTCCTTTCCTTACAGAGAGATCTGCTTTTTTCCTTATATCTCCACAAGGGAGGGGTTAGAGACTTCCTTTTTAAAAAATAACGCTGGGAATTTAGAGAACTTGCTAAGCATACGGTCATCATGCTCTAGTGATATATCAATATTTTAGTGTTGTTGGGGAAAAAGAAAATGAAAGAGGAGGAGGAGTTTGGATTTATACTCCATCCTTCACTACCCGAAGGAGTCTCAGAGAGGCTTACAATCTTCTTTCCTTTCCCCTCCCTTCCCCTCCCAACAACAGACACCCTGTGAGGTAGGTGGGGCTGAGAGAGCTCTTTCGAGAACTGCCCTTGAGAGAACAGCTCTGAAAGAACTTGTGACTGACCCAAGGTCACACCAGCAGCTGCACGTGGAGGAGTGGGGAATCAAACCAGGTTCTCCCAGATTAGAGTCCAGCCTCCTAACCACTACTCCCAAATGGCTCTCTCATCTTCCAGGGAGGGGAGAGGGGAGTGGTTTGACCACCACAGTCCAATCAGTGAAAAGTGAGCTGGAGGTGGGTGGGAGTGGGCGGAACAAAGAAAAGCGAGGAAAAAGTCAACTCAAAATCGGCATCCCGAAAAAGAAATGGGGGTAAAAGTAGTCTCAAAAGAACCAGAAACAAACACGTGTGCAGAAATTGGGATAGACTGAAGCAGTTCTGGGGCCAGAACCGATGAGAAAAACCTATGCAGAAAAGCCCTCTGACGGGGGATGCCTACCCACTTTTTCCTCTCTTTGCATGGCAAGCTAAAGCTCCTCTGCTAGCTGTGCATTCATGCGCATGAGCTACCAACTGCATGGCCAGGCACGTTCTTCCAGCCTCCTTTGACTCTACACAGCTCAATGCTCAACGCTCAGGCGCCTGCGCACTGGGTCGCTGCCAAATTTTGCCTAAAGCAAAATTCCAAGGCAAATGTCAAGGTTCTCCTTAGGACCCAAAGGATTTTCCAAGGAAGCAAAAAAATTCTTTGCGAAGACCAGTGGTCTTTCGGGGGTGGTGTGCACCACATCTCCTGAAATGCATGCATGATGCTCACAAAATGTACCAGCATTGAAATTGGCATGCAAGCTGGCTGAATGCATCAAGAATGGGTGAGAGAAAGTATGGGGGGGAGGGGCTGAGAGCCCCAAGGACAGCCATGAAGTGTACAACGTTACAGATTCTTGAGGAAAAGCACAGTAGTCTAAACAGGATGCAGAGGCTGGGGATAAATCCTTTTGTGAGCCATTCTGCTTGGACCCAGGGCTTTCCCCCTCCTGGCCCTGAAAGAGCATCGCCCTGATGAGGCCCCTGCCTTTTCCAGGTCCACATCTGGGCTCAGCTACACATCAGTGTGTACTCAAGAGCATTTGTTTCTGTTGCAGATTTAACTGCAAGGACAGCTGTATCAAGGAGGCAAAAACCAGTGGGGTGAACGGGGGACTTTTTAACACTCTCCTCCATTGATGTTTTCTGACTGGTAAAAGCCACCCCGGAGCTGATTTAACACCCTCCCTCCCCCCAGGAAAAAAAGAACTATAAGTAGGCTTCACCCCCTTCCTAAAATCAGCCCAGGGGTGGCTTTTCCCAGCAAGAAAATGGCTGCTCAGCTGCAAAAGGAGACGTTGCTTTAGGTTGGTGGTCGCAAAGGGATTGGTGTTCCTCTATCGCAGTGGTGGCGAACCTATGGCACGGGTGCCAGAGGTGGCACTCGGAGCCCTCTTTGTAGGCACGCGTGCCATCGCCCCAGCCAGGCCCAGACCATCATTAAAGTGCCGAATTCTCTGCCAAATAATTTTAAGTCAATGAAAGCATTTGGGATTGCTTTCCTTACTTTGTTTGGATCATCTTAAGTTAATGTATGAGTTGTTTTTTCTAAAGTAAAACTTCAGTATTCAGGTTAAATTGCCGTGTTGGCACTTTGCAATAAATAAGTGGGTTTTGCGTAGGGCTGCCAAATCCCCCCGGGGGGCGAAAATCCCCCCGCCCCAGAGGCCCGTTCCCAGACGCTGGGGAATCGGGCCCCGGGGGGAACCCCGCCCCAGCGTGCATGTCACAGGGAAGTGACGTTATGATGCCAGGCACGCTGGGGGCGGGGCCACGGCCATACAAGGGAAAACTCTATGGTTTTCCCTTGTATGGTCGTGGCCCCGCCCCCAGTGTGCCCGGTGTCATGACGTCACTTCCCTGTGATGTGCATGCGGCGCGCGCGCGCTCCGGGAGCCGCACAGGAGTCCCCCGCCAGAGAGGTGAGTACCATTTGGCAACCCTAGTTTTGGGTCGCAGTTTGGGCACTCGGTCTCTAAAAGGTTCGCCATCACTGCTCTATCGTGCAGATGGAGAAGTGTTTCTAGGAGCCTACCCTCTGCCTCACAAATGCCGTCTCTGGTTGAACTCTCCGTGTGACAAAAATGAGGATATGGTGAAGCGCCTCCCCCCCCCCCCCCAATTCCCACACCAAACCTCAATATGATTCTCGAAGTCTGGTGTGACCAACTTTCCAGAAACCCAACTGTGCGATAATACCAAACTCATCCACTGCTGAGTGACTATTTAATATCTTTCTCTCCCACATGGCCAGGTCCCTTAAGCCACTAGCAGGGGATGGGGGGGGGGGGTTTCCGTTGCCAGATGCAGGCTGGGAAATTTATGGAGATTTGGGATGGATCTGGGGAAGACAGTGGGGAATGATGTCACAGAGTCCACCCTCCCAAGCACCCGTTTTCTCCAGGAGAACTGATCCCTATAAATCTGGAGATGAGCTGTCATTCTGGGGGATCCCCAGGTCCCACCTGGAGGCTGGCATCCCTACATATCGCACTTCTGATTGCCCAGTCCTCAAAAAGCTACCAGCCCACACTGTTTGTTTCACCAGCTCCTGCACATTTGCTTTGACCAACGATGGCTAACCAGGATAACTGGCAGGCACTTCTGGCTTACCCCAGACGACTGAGTGAAGGACTGCTTCCGAGAGCCACAGTCTGGCTAGAACAGCTTGTCCGGGTCTTTGTTAACACTAAAAATCTTATGAAACCTTATATTTGACCAGAAACCACAGCAGGACAGAGGAAAAGCCAAATGCTGGTTCTGAAAGGCCCCATGCCTGCTTCCAGCTCTCGCCTGCACGCAGCCTAGAAGCAGTTCGTCCAGGAAACCTTGCCTTTTGCAAGACACAGTCGCCAGCACTGGAACGAGCCCTCCATCCATCCCAAGCCCGCCATTGGGCTGGCAAAAGCCGAGAGGAAATTAGCCACGTGTGAGCCTACATTTGGCCCCGCTGTACGTGGCCACCAGGCCTCCCTTCCCACTACCATCACCACTTCAGGAGCATGCGGGGAAACAGCAGCCATGCACCACAGACATGCAATTGCCCCCAACACACCAAGAATGAGGCATTACCTGCCAGTGCCTGAACGCCCTTATCCAGGTGCACATGGTAGCATGAGAGGGGGGTAGAAACAGGGTTCAGGAGGGGTCCCCGGAGAGGTAAACCCAGAGACCAGACCACACCCGCCAGCCAAGCCCTCTCCAAAGGACTGCATCTTTCCTTCCCCTCCTGGCTCCCTTTTGTAAAACAAAGTCTGTGGCATTGTGGCGCTCAGAGAGCCCCTCGTTTTTCTTTGGTTGCCATTTGCACGGAGCAGGGAAATTTGCAATATCACCTCTCGGATACGACCTGGCTAAATGCTACCCGGGAAGAAGAGATGCTTCTGGCAGTGGATCCCAGTAATATTCAGAAGTCTGTTTCATGTTTTATATTAGTTCCAGGGTACCAGAGTCTGGAGGAGCTCCAACCCGAGTTTTACTTATGGCTCTGGGTACACTGGCCAGGCAAGCTGCTGTGAAGGACTCTGGTAGGCACCGGATTCCCTCCTTTGCTTGTTCTGACTGAGTTATACTTGTCTGACTCAAGACAACCCTCCGTGTATTCGTAAGTGACTGCAGCATCCCACCCCACCCATGGTAAAGCAGTTCCGGCCCACACTTCCTATAAGATCCAGCATTTAAAACAGAAGGTGAGAAAAGCCCTGGTTCTGCTTCTCTAGCATCCTGCTTCCAACAGGGGATGGCCACGATGCCACCAGGAGTCTGCAGGCAGAACACGAAAGCAATGGGCTTCCCTCTCTGGTGCACTTGAGCAACTCGTATTTAGAGGTACACTGCCTCTGAACCTGGAGGTTCCATTTAACTGTCTTGGCTAACAACTGTCGACAGACCCTTCCTCAGCCATGAATGGGCCTAATGGCCTTTTTAAGCTGATGGCCCTTCTGGTGGCAGCAGCGGATTCTGTTTTAGGAACACCCAGGTGGAGCGACAGGTCTCAGAGGCATAACATGGGCCCCAGGCAGTGTTCCCTCGAAGTTGAGTTAGTGTGAGCTAGCTCACAGTTTTTTAGCCTCCAACTAACACATTTTCGTCTTAGCTCAGGGAGGATGGCTCCAGAGCAAACTGATTTATGCAGCAGCCAGATCGTTCGCTCACAACTTTAATGGCAGTCGCCCACAAAGTAGAATTTTTGCTCACAGGACTCCAACAGCTTAGAGGGAGCAGTGGCCCCAGACTGCGATCCTGTCTGAAAGGAGCTGCCTTCTACTAACTTGGGTCCAAATTCCCCATGAGCCTGTGGTGTCTGTTATAACAGGATGTGGCTCTTCAAGGTCATGGGCTGGCCTTTAACCCCAGGCCTTCCTGTGTGCAAAGCAGGTGGTCAGAGAGATGGAAGTACTGCACAATACAATGTTTGCGGCGCGAAGTGTTAGGCCTTCCGCAAAGGAAACAATAGCTTCCTGCACACTTGGGATTATTGGGGATCTTTAGAGTTTGCAAAGGGAGCACCATATGCCCTCCTCTTCTGATCCTCCCCCCCGCTTAATGTTGCATCTGGTCAGGAGGAAACACTCAAGGAAGATGTGATTGTACTCTTCATGTACCCAAATGGCAAAGACTGGTTTTCTGCAGCTGCAGAAAGCAAGACTAGATCTAACAGGCTTCTGAGGACAGGAGGGCAGCTTTCAGTTGAACATTAGGAGAAACTTCCTAACGGTAGCAATGACCCAACTCCAGCTCCCTGAGATTTAGGGACTGATCTTCGGTAAGCAAAGCAGCTGCTCTCTTACCAAGTCGTAGGAGAATGGTTGAATCCACACTGGGGAGTCCTGCAGGGCTTGAGACATGATGAGACCCTAAACTGTAGCTTACTTAGTTTGTGTGTAAGTAGCAGAGGCCTAATCTCTTCAAGACAGGGCCAGATTTTGGGCCAGGATCCCCCTTCTGGTCTCTTGCCCCTGCCTGGGCAACCTGCTTGACCTCCCCACCCCTCCCAACAGAGGGACTCACCTGGCTTTCCACCAGCATAGCCATATCCATGAACATGTCGTGGAGCTCCCGGATGCTGGTCTCCAGCTTAATGATCTCGCTGTGCCGCGTCTCGATCTCATTCAAAGCCTGCTTCGTGATGTTGGAGTCCATGATGATCTGCCAAAGGAAGGCAGAGAGTGAACCGAAGGAGGTGGTGGGTGGTCCAAGGAGAGACACCACATCTGGTCAGCCTGGTGAGACACCCTATGAAGCCGTGACTTGTGGATGGAGTACGATTGCCAGGTCCCCTCATTGATCTGGTGGGGGGATTGGGGGGCGTTCGGGGGGGGCATCGACCAGAAGTGACATCATCATGTCAACGATGCTGGGGGCAACACTGTGGTTCTTGGGCAAAACTCTATGGTAAAATTGCCCTCGAAGCATAGAGTTTCGCCCCAGAACCAGAACGTCCCCGTGTGACATCCCCAATGCAATGATGTCACTTCTGGGTGATATCATCACATCGGGAATGTCCCTGTTTAGGGGTGGGGTTTCCCCGACTGGCCAGCTGGTTTGTGGCAGGGAGAAACCCCCAGAAGTGGGGATCCCCCACTCAGACCTGGGTGCTGGCAACCCTAGAAGGGCGGTTTGGAGACCAATGTATACCACCCTCAGCTTTTTGGAGGAATGGATGTGCCATCAAGTCACAACTGACTTGTGGCGACCCCTCTGGGGCTGCAGACCTCCAGGGCGATGGCAGGAGATCTCGTGCTATTACAACTGATCTCCAGGTGACAAAGATCAGTTTGCCTGGAGAAAACGGCTGCTTTGGAAGGTGGACTCTGTGCTGTCATACCCCATCGAAGTCCCTCTCCTGCCCAAACCCTGCCCACCTCAAGCTCCACCCCCAAAATCTCCAGGTATGTCCCAATGTGGAGCTGGCAACCCTCGTCCCCTCATGGGGCTTTCAAGGCCAAAAAGGAATGGAGGGGGGTTGCCGTTGTGCTCCTGGACTTCCTTGGAGGTCTCCCATCCAAGGACTCACCAGGACCGATCCTGTTTACCTTCTGAGACCTGCCAAATCGGGCTAGCCTGCTCAGGGCCCCTGGAGGAGTGGTGCGATTGAGACGTATGAATTAAATTCAAACAGAATCCATTCAAGTACCAAAAGAGAATTCAAAATCCAAGCTACGACTCCCCGCCCAAAACACTTCTCCTTCGGGGGAAGGAAAGAAAGACACATCGCTCAATAGCAAAACAAAACAGATTATTGATTTTATTATTAATTATTATTGATCAAATAATTATTAATAAAAAAAAGCTTGGGGGAATAGTCTTTCAAGCCCTTCTGAAAGTCTCTAAGGTAGGGTTGCCAAGTTGATCTTCGCCGGGAGCGAGGGGCTCCCGGCCGGCGTCTGGTGTGCGCGCATGTGCGTCACCCAGAAGTGACGGGAGGACGCCAGGCACGGTGGGAGCGGGGGCACGGCCATACAAGGGGAAACCATAGAGTTTTCCCTTGGATGGCCGTGGCCCCGCCCCCAGCGTGCCCGGCGTGGCCGTGTCACTTCCGGGTGATGCGCACGTCGGGGTGGAGTTCCCCCCGGGGCCCAATCCAGCAGCGCCGGGGAACGGGCCTCTGGGGCGGGGGTTTCCCCGCCCCCGGGGGGACTTGGCATCCCTACCCTAAGGGTAGGTCCTGCTGTTTGGACCCAGAAGGGCTGCTCTGGGCTGCTGACCGAACAAGGGGGAAAGGCCAGTTTCTGGTGGAGGGTTGCCAGCCTCCAGGTACAGCCTAGAAATCTCCCAGAAATACAACTGATCTCCAGACGAGAGAGATCAGCTCCCCTGGAGAAACTGGCTGCTTTGGGAGAGGGACTCTGTGGCATCGTGCCCTGCTGAGGTCCCTCCCACCTCAGCCTCCATCCTCCCCAGGCTCCGCCCCCCAAATCTCTAGGGATTTCCTGACCCTAAGCTGGCAACTCTAAGTGGAGGGCAGGTGGACAAAGGAGCAGGGCAGGGAATGCAGGGAAGGAATCGAGAGCAAGGAGTTCTGGGGAGGCTTCAGATGTGCAGGTTCATTCCTGGGCCCTTCCTTATTGCAGTAAAGGGCTCTTTTTGTAGCAGGAGCTCCTTTGCATATTAGGTGACACCCCCCTAATGTAGCCAATCCTCCAAGAGCTTACAGAGCTCTCTTTACAGGGGCTACTGTAAGCTCTTGGAGGATTGGCTACATTAGGGGCGTGTCGACTAATATGCAAAGGAGTTCCTGCTACAAAAAGAGCCCCATGTACCCTCAGCGGACGGCCACCTACAGCACAGCCTACCACGCCCGACCCACCGTCCTCATGACCAGTGTTCCCTCTAAGCGGAGTTAGTGTGAGTTAGCTCACGGTTTTTTAGCCTCCGGCTCACACACATTTTTGTCTCAGCTCAGGAAGGAGGGCTCCAGTGCAGACTAATTGATGCAGCAGCCAAACTGCTCACTCACAACTTTAACGCCGGTAGCTCACAAAGTAGAATTTTTGCTCACAAGACTCCGCAGCTTAGAGGGAGCATTGCTCATGACAAAGAGTTTCAAGAACAAATTTTGAGTCCAGGGGCACCTTTAAGATGAGCAAGGGTTTATGCAAGGTATGAGCTTTCATGTGCAGGCAGGCACCAATGCTCCCTCTAAGCTGTGGAGTCTTGTGAGCAAAAAGTCTACTCTGTGAGCTACTGGCATTAAAGCTGTGAGCGAGCGATTTGGCTACTGCATTCATTAGTTTGCTCTGGAGCCACCCTTCCTGAGCGAAGACAAAAATGTGTGAGCCGGAGGCTAAAAAACTGAGCTAGCTCACACTAACCTAGAGGGAACACTGGCAGGTACACTTCCTCAGATACATTGCAATGGAAGCTAACAGTTCGAATATATAGGTAGAAGCCTCTACATAGGTGAACAGCAAATTAGCATACATTTAGTTTAGCCTTTGTATATGTCAAAACATCTTCATTAAGTTGTATGCTAATTTACTGTTCACCTATGTAGAGGCATCTGCCTATATCAGTGGTGGCGAACCCATGGCACGGGTGCCAGAGGTGGCACTCAGAGCCCTCTCTGTGGGCACGCGTGCCATCGCCCCAGCCAGGCCCAGACCGTCATTAAAGTGTCGAATTCTCTGCCAAATAATTTTAAGTAAATGAAAGCATTTGGGATTGCTTTCCTTACTTTGTTTGGATCATCTTATGTTAATGTATGAGTTGTTTTTTCTAAACTAAAACCTCAGTATTCAGGTTAAATTGCTGTGTTGGCACTTTGCGATAAATAAGTGGGTTTTGGGTTGCAGTTTGGGCACTCGGTCTCTAAAAGGTTCGCCATCACTGGCCCATATATTCGAACTGTTCGCCTCCATTGCAATGTATCTGAGGAAGTGTGCCTGCACACCAAAGCGCACACCTTGAATAAACCTTTGCTGGTCTTGAAGGTGCCGCTGGACTCTAAATCTGTTCTACGGCTTCAGACCAACGCGGCTGCCCACCTGGTTCTAATGAGTTTCAAGGGCAGAGGAGATGACCTACCCCAGAGGAGAAAATAGCCGGGTTCCCGCTCTCGAGCATGTCCTCCAGTTCTTCGCTGGTGGTGGTTCGGCCAGCTGCAGTGGACACAGGCCAAGAGTTAACAGGAGGACAAAGGGAACTAGAGAAGGACGGATTCCATCTGTCTGGCTAACTCCCTGACCCCTGGAGAACTGTCACCTTCTCCCTTATTTAAGGGATCTTTTTAGCTGAAACCCTCCCACCTTTCTCTTGGTCCTCCACCTGTCCGTAAGGCTGGCAGGGATGATTACAGGTCGGCTGTGAATTTGCCCTCTTTGAGGAGCTCTTTTTAGCTACACTCCTCATACTCTATGTTGCACAGGACAGTGTCAGACCAGGTGAGTAGATGACTGCCTATCTACAGCATTCACACATTGGGTTAAATGTAGAAGAATCAATTGCCTTGGAAGCACAGAAGCTTTGCACAGTATCCCTGATCCTCCACGTTTCCCAGTTAAGGGGGAAAATGCTGTTCATACAAATTACAAAGATGACCTGACTCCAATGGTAACAGGCGAAAGAAATTTTACTTACAAAGTAGAAGCACATCTTACATGACATATTCATGTAGGAACATTTAACTTATTGTGAACAGATTAACTTCGAAAAACTTGCTACAACTCCAAGCCCAGGTACGAGAGAAGAAGAAGAGAGGTCCTATATAAGATGAAACAGGAAGCCAGCAGCAGCCAAAGAGGCTCAACATCTAACCAATAAGAGGGCGGGGCCTGTATTATCTCATTTGACTAAGTCAATTATTATACTTACTTGTAAAGTTCTTTTTTGGTTCTTAAATGCTGTGTCTTTACTTAGTACATGGTGTATTAAAAAAGGGACGGGGTGGAGGAAGGAGGGGGTAAGCAGAAAAAACTGTACAGTTTTGCAATATTGGATAACATAAGACAACATGTATTCTGAATGCAATTGTTAAAGTTATTGTTAAAATTAATTTTAAAAAATTAAAAAGAGAGAGGGCGGGGCCAACCGCAAAGTGTACCTGAGTGAGAGAATTCTCTTAACCCTTTCCCTCTCAGATCCTCTAGCACGCAGAGTGACAATATCCAACAATTTAAGGGATATTTTTAGCTAAAATCCTCCCATCCTCCTCTTAGTCCTCCACCTGTCCGTATGGCGTGCAGGGATGATTACAGGGCTCAGGTTGCCTGTGAATTCCCCTCTTCGAGAAGCTCTTTTTAGGTACAGTCCTCGTACTCTTAAGTTGCACCGGACAATGTCAGACAAGGTGAGCAGACGAGGGCCTCTCTATGACGTGCACAACATTTCTGCATCCTGGAATCTTTGCTTTTTTGAGCTCTCCTCCTTGGGGGTTTCTTTAGAGAGTAAAGCCCAGCGTGGGACCCTACAGGTAACTTTTAATTGCGCTTTTGGCAAACTGCTTTGCTGACAGAACTGGAGCAGTCGCCCGGAAGAGCAGATAATGAGGCTGCTGGGAGGCTTGAATTGCTCTGAGGAAGCGGCCTCTCTCCAGGGGGACAGCGGGGGAAAGAGGGGCTCGCTGGCTGGATTCTCAGAAAATGGTTCAGAGAGAGAGAGAGAGAGAGTGCAGAAGGCGTGCCCAGAAACAAACATCAGGGATCAGGAGACACAGGACAACCAAAGGTACGGAAAAAGAAAGCTCAAGAAAGCAGACGCACATGGCACATTGTCTCCTTTGAATGCTGGAGACCACGATCCCTTTCCCTGTCTGCCATATCAGAATGGACCTCATAGTCATCGCTATAGCTAAAGGCTGACCCACATGCAGATAAGTAAACCCATGCAAGGGGGCCAGTGGGGCTGCTGTTTAAGGCTCAACAAGTGCCAGGGAATCCCCAAGTTTAGAGGAAACCTTTGGGGTTTTTTAAAAAACCCCACTAATTTGGGGGTTACGCCTTCCCCTGAAGTTAACAGCACCATCTGCAAAATACCAGATGAAAATACTACATCCAGGAGAAGTGCTGGCAGCATGGGTGGGGGTGGGATTCCATCTCCCCCACACACACACACACACGCAAAGTCCTTGCAGGTCTCCTCTTGTTTTTATATATTATTGACACCAGCAGAAGCAGGCCAGCAGGCTGAAAGAGGCTCCCAAGTCTGACTCGGGATCGTAGTTCGCCTCGGTCACTTGTTCACTAGTCACTGTCTTTCTTGGCCTCAATGCACCCCTGGGTGTAGAATGCTCACAAGGGGCTGAACCATCTTGTCTGCCTCTGTCAGCTGGCAGATTGGGGGCCTTAGCCAGATCTGAACCATTTGGTCCCCCTACGACAAGGGTGTCATAATGGTCAACCAGGATTATGCCAGTGTCTTTCCCAGGACAAGTAACACACCAGACTGCCTAGTATCAAACCCTGTTTTTAGTTTGCCATGCTTTGTAGGGGGAGGGAAATTCCTGAGGGGGGTGTGAGTGGCTGAGTGTGTGAACCACTCTATCATAGAGGCCGTAACTCTTCTTAAGATACTTCCCTTCACCAGGGATGACCTTGAAGCCAAAGTTGTGACTGCTTCGCTTTTTAGATAAGGGATCCATATTCACAGGTGGGGGGCGTTTGTGGAGTGTGATTGGATGTACTGGAAGGGGTGTGTGTGCTTCATTTGAACTGTCTATATCTTTGGATTCTCCCGCCAGAACCCCAGTTCTGACACGGTACTGGTCTGGCCTGGAACAGGATTATTTCTCAATGAACAAACCACTGCCAGAAAGTGTTGTTGAGAGTAACCTTGTCCAGGAGTCTGGCACCTAGCGAGTCATGTGGGAAGAAGTTAAAAGGGGCTTTGCTCTCTGCCCTACTTGCCAACCCCTGACCAAATCCAAGACTGGCTTTGTTTCCCTTCTCCTCCAAGCTAGATTTGCTGCCCTGCCTCATAAGACGAGAAAGCGGGATGTCTCCGCTCGACACTTCCGCTCTACATATGGCATTCGCAGCATTCTCTTCTCCAGTTCCCCGCATCTCCCACTCAGCCCTTCTATTCTAGTCTCTCTCATCTGCACCTCCGCCCCGCTACCTGTTAATTCAGCCACTCCCACCCTTTCATGCTGGCTGCCTGAAAAAGCCCCACTTGTGGACAGATACAACAAGCCTCTCTGTGGTTCTCTGTGGTTCTCTGTGGTTCAATCCACAGGCTGGCTACACCACCCCCTTGGCTCAGAGGCCGAGTAAATGCCAAGCTCAGTCGTGGGTGTCCCTATTCTACTGCTCCTGTGGTGCCCCTGTTCTCTTGCTTCTCAATTATGTCACACTTGCAGCTTGTACTTTGGCCAGCTGCCCCCTCCAAAACTACCTTAGTGCAGGGCAATATGGAAGACTTGTGCTCAACACGATCCAAAATTAATTTGCAAGTGCAAGCGGCATTTCCACAAATGCACCATCCTTCCGCGAACTGCATCCTTTTGTTCCTCGTGGGGTACCTGGGATGGAGGAATGGGGACGGACTATCTAGCTTAAGGGGGACAACAGTTTACTATGCACACCTCCAGAAAAGAAGAGGAAGAAGGAGGGCATGCCTAAGATCAGCTCTGGAGAAGGGGTCCTTTTCTTCTGCTTCCTGTCTTGGAGGGAGTTGTGCCAGTGTCACAGTCTTGATCAAAAACATGGCAGCAAAATGGATAAATAAACATTGGTCTTCCTGGTACAGCTTGCATTAGCAACGCTTCCCAAACTGTAGACCGCCCCAATGACCAAGAGAGCCAGAAAGTAGAAACTGACAAGTATTGACATGAGATTCCACTCTATGGCTTAAATCCAGCTGGAAACCTACATGACCTGGTCAGTTTCACTTCCCAGCAGGACTTATGGCCCAAGAAGAAACTTGGGAGAGTTGGCAGCTTCATCTTGTATGGATGAGTGCAGACGAGCAGGCATCCAAACTCTAAGAAAACAAGTTCAGAACTTCAAAAAGGAAAATGGGGGGAGGGTCACAACCTAGTGAAGGTGACAGTGGGACTTTCACTGATATTGTCACAAGCGCTAGTCAGGGCGATCTCACTCCTGGAAAGAATGTGTTTTCCCAGCACCACAAGATTGTTGGGGGGAAATATTAAATTGTCCATGTTTAGTACGGGTGCCACAGTGACAAAAACAGTTGCTTGGACTCTGAAGGTTTCCTGTTTTGTGAGACCAGATAACCCTCTAAGGAGGTATCAACAGTCTGCACTTTCAGCTGGGTTAGCAGCAGTCATTTCTTCCTCTCAAGAAATTCTAGGGAGTTTTGTGTGAGAGCCAAGGGCTCTCCAGTAGAGGATTCTGAGCTCCTGCACCAAACTACATTTCCCAGAATTGGGGGGGGGGGGGGCCACGATGATTAAACTGATACAAAGCCAATATAAATCTATGGGGTAAATACGCCCCAAATGTCTGTTACTTTAAATGATGGCTGTTGTGAGTGTTCCAGGTCCTGAGTCTTTCAGGTGGGCTTCAGGGGTGTTGTTCTAATTATTGAGAGCCAGTTTGGTGTAGTGGTTAAGTGCACGGACTCTAATCTGGGAGAACCGGGTTTGTTTCCCCGCTCCTTCACATGCAGCTGCTGGTGTGACCTTGGGTCAGTGACAAGTCCTTTCAGAGCTGTTCTCTCAGGAGCAGTTCTCTCAGAGCTCTCTCAGCCCCACCTACCTCACAGGGTGTCTGTTGTGGGGAGGGGAAGGGAAAGGAGATGATAAGACTCCGAGTGAAGAGTGGGGTATAGATCCAATCTCTTATTCTGCTGCTGCTTTAAACATTAAAAAACACGAGCCCAAGTTGAGCCTCCCTCCCTCCAAAAAAGTGTGCTACTCATTTTGTGCTACATCCAAATGTTAGATTTCAAATCCACCCCAAAAAGTGATTTGCAGGAAGTCCCGTAAAGGAAAACAAGATAAGATTAAGCCATTTGGGTGCAAAACGCGGGCACACTGAGCTGGGCCTCATGGCACTACTCACTGATTTCCAGCTGCCTCTGGATCCGTCCCTTGCAGCGTTCCCGATAGTCCGACTGGGTTGCATTGTACTCTGACATGACTTCCACAAACTTCCGCGATAGAGTGGAATGCTGGAAGGGAGAAAGATGGGTAGCAATGGAAGGCCCACAGAGGGCTTCCGCATTAATCCAGGCTCTAGTCCCAAATTAGAACAACAAAGAAAAAAACTGAATACTGCAGGGGGGGGGTATTCTTCCTTTTGGCTCACGCATTTTGACTCCTCTCCTTTGATTAAAGGATGGTGTTGCTGAATGTCTATAATTTCTTTTCTTCGACGCATCACCCATCTGTTCTATTTCAAGGGGTTGGAGAGTCGGAGAGGCATGATTTATTTATAGAGCCCAAGAGTAGGATCCAGAACCAAGTTGTGTTTTAGGTCGGTAGCTGCACTGGTATGCAACAGAAGAGCCGGTGCAACCCCAGCAAGGAGCTTTCAAGGCAATTGAGAAGCAGAGTTGGTGTGGTTTGCCACTGCCTTCCTCTGCAGAGTCTTCCTTGGTGGTCTCCCATCCAAATACCAACCCTGCTTAGTTTCTGGGATTTGATGAGACTGGGCGATACCGTGCTTCCATCCCTCCCATCCCATAGTTGTAGATGCCTCTAAAAGGGTATTGGATCAATTCATGGAGGACAGGTCCATCAATGGCCATTAGCTATGGATGGCTAAATGGAACCTCCATGTTCATAGGCAGTATGATAACTAAATAACAAGCCCTGGAGATACAAACGATGGGAGCGCCTTCATGCCTGCCTTGTGTGCTGCCCAGAAGTATCTGTTGGAAGCACAGCATTGGGTTTGAGGCACTCGGCTTAGTCTGATGTAGGGGGATGGTTTTTACATTCAAATGGATCGAGTGATCCTAGATCAGTGATGGCGAACCTTTTAGAGACCGAGTGCCCAAACTGCAACCCAAAACCCAGTTATTTATCGCAAAGTGCCAACACGGCAATTTAACCTGAATACTGAGGGTTTTTATTGTTCAGTCGCACAGTCGAGTCCGACTCTTTGCTACCCTGAGGTTTTACTTTAGAAAAAACAACTCATACATTAACTTAAGATGATCCAAACAAAGTAAGGAAAGTAATCCCAAATGCTTTCATTTACTTAACATTATTTGGCAGAGAATTTGACACTTAATGATGGTCTGGGCCTGGCTGGGGCGATGGCACGCGTGCCCACAGAGAGGGCTCTGAGTGCCACCTCTGGCACCCGTGCCATAGGTTCGCCACCACTGTCCTAGATACTACAGAAGGGGAGGGGCCATCTTTGACGGTGGCCAAGCTTTTAACAGAAAGCACGTGGTTTCAGCACACAAAGACTCCCTCTTGGTCTCTCCGGGGGCCCCTGAAGAAGGACTCACTTGAGTCTTCCTTATTCTCAAGTTGGCGGCCGATCGATTCAGTCCTTCCTCCTGTTCAATATTCTGTTCAATACCTGGGAGGGAGCAGGGGGGAAAAAACAGAGCCTATTTTCAGAGACAAGGGAGGGGGGGGAGGGCAAACCGAGAAACAGATGGGTCTCACTCGCGACTGTCTTCCTTGCCTGCCAAACGTCCATTGCAGATGGGGCTAAAAATATCTCTCCAGAAGGCACCAGCCACAAATGCCCCCATTTTTTAATAAAAGGGATGCTTTTAATGCTAACGTATTAAACGCACCGTTGCATCTGGCAAGTATCACCTAAAGGCCTAAAAAGAAATGCGCTAAAAATATTCAGCCATCAAAATCTGGGCCACCCAATGGTGAACTCTGTGACCTGAATAAATTATGCAGATTGGCACCTTATTTGCATCATTATGCAGACAGAGGGGTTAAGTCCCACGCTTTGCCAGTCCGGACTCAGCAGTTTCCCTGCCGCGCAACCTGTTCACAAGTCAAAGCACTAGAATCTTTTTTTAAAAAAATTAATTAAAGTCAGAGTGCTTAGAATGTGCTTATTTATTCGAATATGCCTACCCTGCCCATCAATCAAAACTGGGGCAGCTTCCAAAAGGATCAAATAACAAAGAAACGTCTTAAAAATAATCAAATAACGATTGCTGTCAATTCCAGAATGCTGGATGGCGTGCCAGTTACTCATCGATTTCAGAGGCCAAAATACACAAAACGGCATCATTTTGGGGCAAAGAGACGTTGAATGTTGTTGCGCATGCCTGACAACAGTCTTTCTGGGGTCTCAGGCAGAGATGGGACTTGACCTGAAATCTGCAAACTGGAGGTGGTGCCAGGTATCGGAACTGGGAATTTCTACCTGATCAGATGGTGCTTTGCCACTAAGATGCCACCATTCCCACACTAACCCCCCCAGCTGGAATTTATGGTTCTCTTGACCTCTAGACTCCGCCTTGCATATTCCTGGTGCTGCTGGGAGACCCAGGTTCAAATCCCGACTCCCATGGAATCTCACTGGATGACTCTTTCTCGAACTCAGGGCCGCCTTCTTGCTGGCACACCTATTCTCTTGCTGGATAGCTCTAGATAGAGAGGCCGCTTCTACATTCTCATATGTTGGGCAGAAGCAAACTGGGCTTTGGCACAATCCATTCCCCCCACCACCACCGCAGATACTCACTCTTGAGTTTGGAGCGGACTTTGTTAGCTGTCTTTTTTATATCGGACATTAACTCCTCCAACTCTTCTTTGGTTTCTGAAGGGGAGAAGATAAGAAGAATGGCTCAACTTTGGGTCACAAATGGGATCCCCGCCGCCCGCTGTGTGTGCCAAAGCTTTTCAGGAAACTCAGTTGTATTTTATGCCTGGCTGCCCAACACAGCTCTCCTTTCCTAGGCAGGCAGTAAAATAAGAGATGGTATTCAACCAGATGGCATATCGATAGAGCTATTTCAAGCCACAGAAATGGAGTCCATCAAAATCTTAACAAGAATATGCCAACAACCATGGAAAACAAAACAATGCCTCACATAATGGAAACGCTCAATCTGCATTCCAATTCCAAAAAAAGGAGATGTCGAAGACTGCAGCAAGTATCGGACCAAGTTTGCAAGACCTGAGCAAGGCTGTTAACGAAAGGACGTTTTGGAGTCAGAAGCAACTTCTTGGCAACTAACACACACAGGTTGCGGTCACATGTGCCAGCTGAAGTGGAGGGGAAGCGAGGCTATTTCCTCCAGAGGAATTTGACACGCAGTCGCGAGAGCACACATCCCTTTGTAGCTGTGGGCTCAGCCCATCACTGTGTGATCAGACGCAACTGCGGGTGAGTCTTTTTTTTTTTTTGGCCATTTGTCTCCCATGCGCATAAATGAGGAATCGCACCTCCACACTGAGGGCCCCCTATGAAGTATGTGATGATGCACATACTATGGGGGGGGGGGAAACGGCACCGAGCTGGGATGGAATGATCAGACCATCCCAACGGCATGAGAACGTGCTTTTGCATGATCAGCCTGGGGAAAGTCCGTTCATGGCCCGTTGGAACCCGTTAGAGCAGGACTTTCCCTGGTGTCTTTTAACTCCGCTTCTGTGGCAGAGCAGCATGGGTTGTTGACAGGGGTCATTTTGTGAAAAAAGAGGTGCAGGAGCTCATTAGCATAACTTATTTGCATATGCCACGCCCCCTGACATCACCGGAAGTGTGTCAGAAGGCAACACCCACCGCTCAGGCTCCCCTGGACTCTTTTGGATTGTTAGCTATGGGGGGGAGGGACGTAGCAGATCTGTCCTCGCAGAGGAGGGAGAGCTTGTACCTGAATAAAACTTGGTCTTAAAGGTGCCGTTTTGGGCCGGGGGGCTCTGCAGCTTATCTGGCTGCCTCTTGCTCTGACTTAGGAGAAGGGGGTGGGGCTTGTTGCATGTGCCCGCCCCCTGGGCTCTTTACTGCCGGAGCTCCGCTCCTGTGCGCTCCGCTCCTGTGCGCTCCTGCAGGAAATGACCCCTGGTTGTTGATGACTGTGGGACGCTTCCCAGATGCTGTTGTCTGATCACACCCTTTAGATCTGTCAGGCATTCACACCTATGTCGGATCTAAAGGCACATGTGATCGCAGCCACACAATAAGCCTTTTACCTGATGGCTCACCAACTATTCAAGTCTGTTCCATTATCAGTCATTTATTATTATCAGCATTTGTTCCACCACCCCTTTGAACCTTCCCACCGATTAAGAGTGTGTTTCCGTATTCTGAAGCAAGATAAGATGCAACCGGAGGCAAGGTTTCTTCTGTGGCAACACAGTGTGGTGTACTAGTGAGATCACTGGACTAGCATCTGGGAGACCTAGTTTCGAATCCCCGCTCTCTATGGAATCTCCCCGATTGACCCTAGGCTGATCACTCTCTCTCTCTCAGCTTAACATAAGGTTGTTGTAAGCAGGGCTTTTTTCTGTGGGAAAAGCCCAGCAGGAGCTCATTAGCATAATAGGCCACACCCCTGATAACACATCTCATTAGCATATTAGGCCACACCCCCGTGCATTCCCTTGGCTTGCCTGAGCACCCCGTGGCTGCAGGGAGCCCAGGCAAGGTGGCCCCTGGACAGGCTGGGGAAGGCATGGGGAGGCATTTAAATGCCTCCTTGATCCTTCCAGGCTCCCCGCCTGCCTGCCTGTCTCGGAGTTGCCGGGGAGGGGGGTGTCGCTCTCCAGGCCTTCCCTCTGTAGCCATGCATGCACAGAGGTTTTGGCTGTAGTGGGTGTGGCCAACTCTGAAGCCACTCTCCGTTCCTGTGCATTCCTGCCCAAAAATAGCCCTGGTTGTAAGGATAAAATAGGGTTGCCAGGTCTGGGTTGGAAAATACCTGGAGACTTTGGGGATGGATCCAGGAGAGGGTGGGGTCTGGGGAGGGGAGGGGCCTCAGCATGGTCCAATCCCATAGAGTCCCCCCTCCAAAGCAGCCGTTTCCTCCAGGGGAGCTGATCTCTGTCAGCTGGAGATCAGCTGTAAAAGTGGGAGATCTCCAGGCCCCACCTGGAGGCTGGCAACCCTAGGATAAAATGGAGGAAGGGCAAAGGATAGCGTAAGCCGTTTTGGGTACTCACTGGGGACAAAAACAGGGTATAAACATCTAAATAAATAATAATATATAATCATCTTTAATTCCGCCTTCCCTCCTAAGACAGGGGCTCCACCCCACGCCCTGGAGGGCTGGTTTGAGCTGCCTTTTCCAGCCACTTTCCCATGGATTCTTAGCCCTCCTCCTCTTCCCCTGGTGCAGATGCGGCAGGTGGGACTGCTCTCTTCCCTGCCCTCTGGAGAGGAGATAATCGCCGTCACCTGCATGGGAACGCTGAATGTCACCAACGTAACCAGGCAACACTGGCAGAGCGACAGAGTCTTGGGTGGCACCAAGGAGGCAATGAGGACACGGCCTCAGTCAGTTCTGGGGCTGCTGTAAGGACATGCGGGAGCGCCACCACCTGCAGCTGCCAACTCCTGTTTGGTGTAGTGGTTAAGTGCGCAGACTCTAATCTGGGAGGACCGGGTTTGATTCCCCACTCCTCCACTTGCACCTGCTGGATGACCTTGGGCAAGCCATAGCTCTGATAAGAGCTGTTCTCGAAAAAGAGCCGCTTCTGTCAGAGCTCTCTCAGCCCCACCTACCTCACAGGCACTGTTCCCTCTAAGCTGAGTTCGTGTGAGCTAGCTCACAGTTTTTTAGCCTCTGGCTCACACATTTCTGTCTTCGCTCAGGAAGGAGGGCTCCAGAGCAAACTAATTTAGGCAGCAGCCCAATCGCTGGCTCACAACTTTAATGTCAGCAGCTCACAAAGTAGAATTTTTGCTCACAAGACGCCACAGCTTACAGGGAACATTGCTTACAGGGTGTCTGTTGTGGGGAGGGGAAGGGAAAGGAGACTGCAAGCCGCTCTGAGAGTCCAAGTGAAGGGCAGGGTATAAATCCAATCTCTTCGTCTCTTCTTCTTCTGTCCTGTAGTTAAGGCCCAACATGCCGCCTCAGTGCTTGCCCTTGGGGTCTCTGTTCTTGCATTCCAAAATAGAGGTGGGGGGGAGGATTTGAAGATGGAGGGAGCCAGACCCTGGATCTCTCAGAGAAAAGGTCTCCCGTTTGCATCCTCTGCAAACAGCTAAGTGGAAGCTGGCACTTGCCGGGGCTCACTCCCCACAGCCAAGCCCCCTCGGTTTTCCTTTGCATCAGACAGATTAGTGATCTGTTTGAAGTGGAAATTAAGCCTCAAGGACTTTACAATCCTTCGGCATAACCAGGCCAGCCGCCAGAAGCACCTTAAAGGAGGGTCCTAAAATATTAATGCAATTCTAAATGCACAGAAGGCTCCGAAAAACATTTAAAAAGCTAAACAGGTGCGGAAGGAACACAGAGGGGTTCGAGGGGGCAAATTATGGGATCCAGGAAAGACTTGAAGCTGCAGGGTTTTTGTTTGTTTTTGGCTTTTGTGGGTGCTAAGGGCCGTCAAGTCAACTTATGGCAACCCCGCGAATTAATAACCTCCAAAACATCCTATCGTTAACAGCTAGGGTTGCCAGTTCTGGGTTGAGAAATACCTGGCGATTTCAGGGGTGGAGCCTGAGGAAGGCGGGGTTTGGGGAGGGGAGGGACTTAAGCGGATTACAATGCCCTACAGTCCTCCTTCCAAAGAGGCCATTTTCTCCGGGTTAACTGATCTCTGTCACCTGGAGATCAGTTGTTAATCCTAGGAGAGCTCCAGCCACCACCTGGAGGTTGGCAGCCCAATTAACAGCCTTGCTCAGGACTCACAAACTGAGGGCCGTGGCTCATGCCGGTAGCTACATTGGGGCACCTTGGGGCCCCGCCCCCTTGATTTACAGCCACGTCCCACAAAACGCATGGGTGGGGATTGGTGTGGGGAAGGAAACAGGTGGCTTGGTTGCTTGGAGGGTAGGGAGGATGCATGGGGTTTTGATTCTTAAGCAATAGACTAGTGAATCAACCTTGGGAAGGGCTGGGAGGGGAACAGGGGTGCCAAGGTAGGTGGATATGGGGAGGGGCGTGAAACAGAAATTCAGATTTCTTCTGAATGCCACACCAACATACAGCCTTGCATACTTCAGCATACTTGCATGTCATTTATGTATAACCTAACTACTTCTGGCATATTGATCAGATGCAGCATTGGTAAGTAAAGGTAAAGGTTCCCTTGCTCGAAAGCCAGTCGAATCCGACTCTAGGGTTGCGGTGCTCATCTCCGTCTCAAAGCCGAAGAGCCAGCGCTGTCCGAAGACGTTTCCGTGGTCATGTGGCCAGCGTGACTAAACACCAAGGCGCACGGAACGCTGTTACCTTCCCACTGAAGTGGTACCTATTTATCTACTTGCAATTTCTTGCTTTCGAACTGCTAGGTTGGCAGGATCTGCAGCCAGAGACGGGAGCTCACTCCGTCATGCGGCACACTCGGGTCTCGAACTGCTGAACTACCAACCTTCCACAGCCTGCAGTTCAGCGTCTTAACCACTTGAGCCACCGCAGCTCCTTGCAGCATCGGTACTGGTACATATATCCATAGATATAATATGTTACAAAGTCCTTCACTCCCTCATGCTGGTTACCCCACAAGAAAAAAATATGCTCCACAACAAAATATACTGGCTACAGGCCTGCCGCGGCCTCCTCGACTGAGTCAACCCATCTCAAGTTTTTGATTTAACAGGACCATTTCCCTTGTGTTCTGATGCTTGTACCCACTAGCACTCAA